CAGTGGAAAGAGGACTTGTCAAATGTAGACCTGAAAGCTATTTTGGAGCGACAGTAGGGGGTGTTGGGGCGACAGTAGAAAGAAGACTTGTGAAAAGTAATGATTGTTGCTAAAACAGTGCCCGTGAACAACAAACACGTTGCTTGCCAGTGCATTATGCATACATGCTTTTCCGTGATAAACATGTATGAGTCATGAGCTTATGGTGACATCATATACATGCATATTCATTACTCGCTCTAATATGCTACCCACACCCGCACAGCGGTTGTGGGAACATTGGAGGCTGTCCCTGAAATGATGTGTTTCTGTGGGTTATAAAGGGGTATTTCCCCATGAGGTCATCAAAATGATGCATTCTAGTCCCATGGTACCATCCTTCCCCCCCCCCAAAAAAATGGAGGTCGTAACTTCTAGGGATCGTCTGCGTGCTGTCTTAACTTTTGGCTGGCATTCAACTTTGTGGTGAAATTTGAATGGAATCAGACAATGCGTAGTGTGTTTTTTGCCCCGTTTTTGCCAAAGTTTGTGTTTTTTGAGCGGTGTTGCGAGTGTTATCATGCAATGCCGCATAGCCTACATACTGTAGCATGTATGACATTGTATGATCGTCATTCAAGCTCATGCACTTACATGTAGATTGTCATCGCACAAATATGAAAGTTATTGATAAATAACTGTAAGTACCATTCTGTCAAAATATTGTATAAAATGGTGATTTTGATGATATGGATTGTGGATGTTTGTGGATTTCAAAGACATATCAGTGATGAAAATTCGCCAAGTGTTCGAGAAATTGCATTACATATGCTAAGTAATGCTAGAACTGAAAATTTCATGAAATCTCTCGTGTCTTGCAAAAAAAAATTCTCGTAATCACATACATGTGCCATTCTCTGTCTGTTCCAATCACAACATTTTTTGTGTGTCCATAAATAAACTACAGGGAAGAATATACATATTTTTGGGTATGAAAGTAGTCATCGCTTTGAGGTTGAATGGGGTATCAAATGAAAGATCTTGCTAAGCTTTATCCAATGGGATTATTTTCTGGGCTCATTTTAAATATCTCAAAATTTTGTAACATCCCTACTATATTCCTTTTGAAAGTTGTCCTATAGAATCTCCTTGTACTGTTGTAGGCCTATTGGAGTTGGCATGTGCGTGGTGCGTTCTACGTGTTGCGTTGCATGCAGACTGATGCCCAATAGGGATGGAGTAAACTGTCTCATATCCAGGCACCAGCACATGTTTTATGTAGCGGGCATTATCACTTCTCAGTAGGCATTATCAAATGTAAATACATAGTCATGTTGCATATTGTTGAATAGGGATACTGTCTGAGGTATTTATGAATCTTTTTTTTTTTTTTTACAGTACTTTGCCCTTGTTTAAAGTATTGCCCTAATATCTGGGACCCACAACCAAACCAGCTAACTTAGTCTGAGCTGACAAAATCCGCACTCGAGATAAGCCAGCATTGGGCTTTTTTTTTTTAATCAGTAGCCTAACTACAGCATGCTGTGTGTGCCAGTGTAACAGCCATGTAAAAAACTGGACTGGTTAACTAAAAATTGAGTGTTCCTTACTTTTAGCGCCCTGTTCCTATGAGAAGGATAAGTACATGTATAATAAATAAGGAAACTAAGTCAACTTCTACAAAACAACTTGCCTAGATAAGTTGGTGGTGAAAGAAAGATTGTGTATGTGACAAGGGGACAGAGCTTTGATTTATGAAATAAAAATAATATATATATATGGGTTAAATATGGGTTAAAACAGCAGCGTACATGACGCAACAGAGAGGTGAAACAAAGACAAATTAGTGAATTTAGTCTGGTTTCTTGATGAAGACTTCTGATGAATCTCAAGGAATCTGAGTATATCTAAAATGGCTGTGTTGGGTAACCAGCCTTGAAACAAAGTGACGTGACCCGACTGAACGGTTGTCATTCAGATTTTTCATGCTGTTGTCCAATTCATGCCCCTTTGAGCCCAGGGGGCCAGTATAGACTAGTCATCACTGACCAGTCAGAGACATGAAACAAAAGCCAGTGACAACATCTCGACCTGAAGAATACTGTCCACTGACTTTTGCAAATAGACCTGTTCAGTGTATTGCATGATACATCTTGCATGATGATACAATTTCTTGTTCTGCGTTGATATAATCTAAATTGCATAGGCTAAATTTCTCATTCATTAGCCAACAAACTGCTGAAAATGTAAAATGGGGATTCTGTATTTTATTCACAGTTATTGTTATACATGTAAGTGCCTTCACATAGGTTTTTATAATGTGAAATTCAAAGAATTGAATTTTCATTTTTTGAATAGTTTAAGCACCCATAAGAAACGTTTCTAAGATGCCTGCCAAGAAGGAGGCAATTGTCCTTCAGACGGAAGTGACAAACCAAGAACAGTGGGATGCTCTTATGACCATAGAAGGTTTATGTGGTAAGTCCAACAACATCTTTATTCTTGATTTCACGCAACAGGTTTCTGTATTTAGTAGTTCATCAGTTTTCTCAATGAATTTGATCATTTTGGCACCAGCTGTTGTCGCATAAAAACAGTCTCTTGAAAAATTCACTTCCAGTCATATATAAGTGCATTTCATTGGAGTATTATAAGTCGAAAAAGTCAAAGAAGTCTAAAAAAGCAGGATATTCAGAAATAGTGGCACAAGTGTAATCTTATGATAAATGTTGCATGGATAGGACAGTTCAAATTTAAATGTTGAGAAATTTTGTTTGAGGATTAAAAGTAAGAAATGTTTGTTTACTTGTCAGTTGTTGATGTTTATCAGCGATGGTGTGGCCCCTGCACAGCCGTTGTCAGTCTTTTCAGACGCTTGAAGAATGAAATCGGCGATGACTTGCTGAAGTTTGCAGTCGTAAGATCAGAGTATTTTAGCAATTTATAATCATTATTGAAAAATTGGAAATGAAATCAACATGGGGCTTAAAATAGAGTTTTTGCAATCATGATTTTTGTTCATTTTGTATGCGTGTAGCCCTGTATGTGTTCTTTTTGTACACAAGAACTCTGTGAATGTGACAGTATTCACCTCATGTACCTGTGCACAACATTTGTTTTGTCAGCATTATTATTTCTAATATTCCTAAGTCTATTTTGAGGACAGTATCAGACAACTAGATGTCTCTGCCTGGTTTTATGCATCAAGCCGCTTGGCAGACAAGTAGAAAATATATAGCCTATGAATGTTTTACCATGGTTTTATGGAATCAAGATGTGAGTTTTGAGGAGGTAAGAAATTTTAAAAATACGCTCAGTCCAGCATCCATAGTATAAACAACTTGTTTACTATCCTGATATAGGCAGAAGCAGACAACATTGAGAACCTTGAGAAGTACCGTGGTCACTGCGAACCATGCTTCCTATTCTTTGGCACTGGTCAGTTAGTAGATGTGGTCAGAGGGGCCAATGGACCGGGTCTCCAGAAGTCCATCACAACTCAGCTAGCTGCTGAGCATCGAGTACTGGAAGAAGGTGCTGAGCGCAAAGTGGTGAGCTTCATTAGTCAACTCATTCTCTGATTCTGTATCTTCTGGAGGAAAGTGCAACATTCGATTAAATCATTTCTTTTTGGGGGAGGGAATATGTACTGTAATATTGATGAGATTGGCCTGGTAGGAAATTCTGTGCTTATTTTTTAACATGAAAATGTTTATCAGTGTTTATTTCTGTAACAAAACCATTGATTACTCAAAGTGCCAACATGTTACACCTGAGCTTGCAAGTGTTAAGAAATTTCAGTTTGAGAAATGGGAGTCAAACCCCAGACATTTTAATGAATTCTTCAGGACCAGATTACGGTACCTCTCATCCAAAATCTTTCGAAATTCTTTTTTTAAATCCTCCAAAACTTAACAGAAGGATTTTGAAGCCTTGAGGAAGTTAGAGCTCTACGTCTGTTAATTTGGGACTTGATTCCCTCGTAAGTTCAAGTACAAAGAATGTGCCATTATGTCACTCTACCATGAGGACTTTTATAGGATTTGGGAAGGTTCTTAAATCAACTACCGGCACTGAAGGGTTTAGGCATGAAGACTGAAAACCAAGTCTGCTTGCAACCCTGGCAAGGTTCAAGCCTGGGCAGGAGTGCATCAAAGTGTTGTTCATTGCACGGATCTGGTTTGTTGTCTTGGATAGATTAAGGATCCTGTTTTGGCAGCTGTGGAGGCTAAGGAGCAAGAAGCAGCTGAAGCTGAGGCAGCTGAGAAACGTAAACAAGAAGAAGAAGCCAAGAGTAAGACATACTTTCTTGTCTTAGTTGTCATCTTGACTGCATCTCAACAGATCGAGCTTGGAAGTATAGATTCAATATATGACAGTTTTCTTGGGAGTAAAGCTAGACAAGCCACATTGAACTGATAAATGTTAGAACTAAGGATGCCATCTTTGGCTGTATTCTAAACATCTGGATATGAAATTAATTGTAAACTATTTTAGTGATATTTCATGGAAGGTCAGACTTATTATGACAATTACATCAATATTTTGTATTATATTAAAGTAAAAGAGATAAAAATTGAAGCAAAAGGTCATAAAGTCAGGAATGTTATTGGTTAAAAACTTTAGTCCAATTTATATAACCACGACGTTGTTTTTTAAGATTTGCAGCAGACTAGCAGTTTGAATTTTAAAATATTTTGTCCCATATTCAAGTATTTTGTCTCACACTAGCCAGTCTGATCTCTTACATGCTACTTTACCAACACCAATTTTGTCTAAAATCCTAAGTATGTGTAATTGTTCTTTTCTTTCTCTTCCCGACTGTGTCGAGAATTTGCTGTAATGGATGTGCAAAACCTTGTAGACCATGCACTCAATCTTTTTGTCCATTCCTCTAAGCATCCCCTCCCCTTTAATGATCACAGCCCCACCCTCCTCATTTCATCCCCCTCCTCTTCCCCAGTTCACCCCTCCCCTACCTAACCTGCACTCCTGCACTTTTTCCCTTCATCCTACAGTAGGGGAAATAATCAGTGGGGAGGAGAAATGCATGGATGTGTCTGTTAGGCCAGTCAGTGAGAATACTCTACAGCAAATGTTTACTGGTATACAAGCACAGAGCAGTAGGTCTAGAACAGGTACATGTGTTAGCTTCGCATGTAATTGACCGAGGGATGCTTTGGTAATGGATGATTGGTTTTTGGTCCTAAAATGCATGTGGTTTAGTGTTGTTGTTTGGCTGGGAGTGTGACTGTTTGTCAGGTTGTAGTTCCATGGATTATTTGGTTGGCTTTTGTTGATTTTCCAGTTCACAGATAGTTAGGATATTTTGGATTAAATTTGCTTGCCTCCTGGAATTTAAGGATGTTTTTTTAAGGAGGGATTAGGAATAATGTGTGTTCAGAAAAATAGTAACATGGTTTCCTTAATAGAAATGTTGGTGTTCCAAGAAAAGTTGTCTCTTTCATTTGAAGGGTTCCTTTTGCCTGGACCTTTTTTTGTGGACCTTTTCTCAAATCTGGATAATACTAATAAATTTCATGGACTAATTCATGTCTTAACCTCCTTTTTAAAGTGATTTCAAGGTTCCCTGTTGCACAGTTGGTCCATTTTTTTTCTACTTGTTATTTTGGTCAGAAAAAATTTTAAGTTTTCAAAATGGGGGCTCAGTTTGTAAATATTGAAATTGAATTTAGTAAACTAACTTTATTATTTGGCCAGTGCCTGAATAGATAATCAAAATTGTGAACAATTATGATTGCCATTATCATCGTCCATTTATTGTTAAAAGTAAATTTATCAAACTAACTCATTTGACTGTACCAATGTCTTTCAATTCCTGACCTCTGATAACATGTCTTAAACCTTACAGAGCCTGTACCCAAGGAAGTCACAGTTGTGCTAATCAAACCAGATGCAGTCAAAGAAGGCAAAGTTGAAGAAATTATCCAGAAAGTAAGGAAAATCTGGCTTTTTTCCCCACCTGTATATATTTTATTAATTTTTCCCCAAAATGCAGTGAAAGAGTTTGTGTTTTAACCAACTGTGTTGTCATTGAGTCAATATCTGACATAGGTTGTAATATATTTGAAATGCACCCCCAAGGATGTTTTTAGATTGGAAGGTGAAGTTTCATATATATTCAGTGTGAGAACGAACATGAATAGGATATGTGGCATTAGATCAGATATTGGCATTGAACATTCGCAAAAGTTAAACACATTCCAAGTTTCCAACATAAATGAATTTTACTGCAAATGTTTCGTTATGTCAATTTGCTTAGTTTTGCATTTACTTGAAGGATAAACCAACCTTCAAGGTGGCAAGTAACAAGCCCTTTTTTGTCAGTGTTATGAGATGTGGAATAACCTGTTCTTTATTTTCCCTACAACAAGCACTTTCACATCACCAAATCCTATAGCCATTTGACTGGAAAAGTTCTATTGCCTTAACCCTAACCCTCCTCAATCCTCCAACAGGTGAAGGATTCAGGAGGGTTAGGGTTAATGCATTGAGTTCTATTGTGAAGCTTTATCAAGTTTAATAAGAATGTGTTATAAAAGTGCTGTAAAAATAGAGATAGGCTAAAGGATAAGAAGCGTGCCGTCATTGTTTGGGTGAAAATGCCTTTTTTATTTTTCGAAGTTAATGGATAATGGCCTGGAGGTTTTGGCTCAAGAAGAAAAGACGTTAAGAGAGGAAGAGGCAAGGGAATTCTACAAGGAACATGAAGAGGAGGTCAGTCAACTCATTCTTTAAAATTCACGTCAACCTCGGTACATTAACATGATTAAGTGTCATCAGTGTTTGCATTGACTTAACTCTTGGGAACATGGTGAATTCAGAGCCAGATGTTATGACACTGTTGTCATTCTTTTAAACTTGCTTCTCTTAAAGACTTTTTCTCTGACATGGTCACCTCTAAATTAAATTGATAATTTAATGTAATATATTTGTAGTTATATGTCAATTATAATCATAATTATGTTCTAACAGTTAAAGTTATATTTGGTGTATTGTCTGTGGCAACAGCCAAAATAAAGATTGTATGAAGACTATTTTATTTCTCATCAAAATTTTTCCAAAATATTTGAAGCTTATTATTAAACAGTGTGTGGATTTTTTTTATCAATTCTCAGGAACACTTCGATGCACTCGTGCAGTTCATGTCAAGTGGACCAAGTCACATCCTTGTATTAACCAAAGGAGACACAGGTGAAGGGGTGGTACATGAAGTACGTGCTCTCATTGGACCAAAAGATGTAGAGGTTGCCAAGGAGGAAGCACCAGACAGGTAAAAGATCTGGACCATTTTGTTACTGTACAAGATATCCTTTAGGAACAGTCTTTAAATAATCAGTAACAGTGTTGTAGTCGAGACCATCACAAGACCATGCACAAAACCATGCAGAAGACCAGTCACAAGACCATGCACAAAACCATGCAGAAGACCAGTCACAAGATCACGCACAAAACCATGCAGAAGACCAGTCACAAAACCATGCACAAAACCATGCAGAAGACTAGTCACAAGACCATGCACAAAACCATGCAGAAGACCAGTCACAAGATCATGCACAAAACCATGCAGAAGACCATGCACAAAACCATGCAGAAGACCAGTCACAAGACCATGCACAAAACCATGCAGAAGAACAGTCACAAGACCATGCACAAAACCATGCAGAAGAACAGTCACAAGACCATGCACAAAACCATGCAGAAGAACAGTCACAAGTAACAGGGTGAACAATATGACAAAGGAGTGCTTTTGTTGCAGTTCATTTGAATAGCTTGTGACTTGACTTCAGACTGAAGGTCCTGTGTTGGTCATGTGCTGGTCTTGTGTGGTGTTGTGAGGGTCTTAAGGGGTCTCAACTACAACACTGATCATTAAATATTCAAGTAGAAAGTGTATGGTAAGTGATGACTTCTTGTCTGTTGCAGTCTACGAGCTTTGTATGGAACAGACACAACAATGAATGCTTTGCATGGAGCAGATTCAGGAGAGCGTGCTGCAAGGTAATGATATCATCATACATCGTGCTCCTATAAAAAAGCAAGTAGAGTGAATCTAATATATATCAAAAATAAGATCTTGTAATTGTCTGGTTTGCTTGGCTATTTGCATTAACAGGTGATTAAGGTACAAACTTTGTGAAGCTTTTATGTTCTTTGTTACACAGTGTATATATTTTGTCCACACATCACTAGATCACTGATGAATAATAAGCCAGTATGTAACGTCTCAGATGGAATGCCAGTTTGTTAACTGCACTAATAATTCTGTATAAAAGTGGTCCAACTGTTGGTTTCTCTGTCAGGTTACAAATGCTTTGTTTTGTCATAAGGTGTTATTAATATTTATCAGTCATTTTCTGGATTTGACAACAAGCTATTTTGCCACAGCTCAAATCGTTGAGAATTTAGGCTGACACCTCGTCATTTTTCTTGCATTCTGCAGAGAATTGTCATTTTTCTTCCCCAACTTTGCCATACCCATCGTGCCTGGCACAGGACCACCTCCCCAAGTCCAGAAAACTTTGGCTCTTGTCAGACCAGATGCCCTCAAGGAACATAAAGGTAGGTCAATTGATGGTCACAAAACAAACAAGTATTTCTTGCTGAGACAATAGTTTTTTCTAATACTTGGTTTATAACCTGTCCTGATCTTTGCTGAGGCAAATATTACCATTGTAGAAGGATCAGACTACTTTTATTTGTCTTTCCTACATGGTATGTTGTCAGTTTTGTTTGTCAAAGTTTTTTAACAACGCCTTTCTAAATCAGGACTTTGGCTTTTGAGTATGTTCCTGTATTGTCCGTTTTTCACTTTGCATCTTACCTAACTCCTGTTATTCTATTTTGTCAGACATCTGTCTATCATCGACCGTCTGTGTAATTTAATAAATGTATGTAGTTATATGGAAATAAACGTTGAGATGAAAACAAAAATAGCACCAAAAGGGTGCACAATAAAAGCCAGATATGCTGGTATTTTTGGTTGTAATATATCCTATAACTCATCTCTCTTTTCCCTTGTGTCCTGTGTTTCCATTAGATGCCATCATTGAGAAGATCAAGGCAGCGGGTTTTGAGGTCTGCCTTCAGAAAGAGATCCAGCTGACTGAAGACCAGGCCAAAGAATTCTACAAGCAACAGGAGGGACAGCCTCACTTTGAAGAGCTCATTAACCACATGACATCGTGAGTCATCCACCCTTTGCTCTGTAGAATTCTGATTAAAACTTAAGACATGCTTCCTAATCGGTCTCTTTGTGTTTGTGTGCTCTCAGGGGTCCTGTGTTAGCATTGGGTCTTGCCAAGGAAGAAGCTATTCAGCATTGGAGGAACATGTTAGGACCTAAAGAAGTAGAGGTGGCAAAGCAAGAAGCACCTGATAGGTAGGTAGAGTAAACAAGGTGCACAAGTGCACCCTCATTGGTGAGGAAGGGACAGGCCGTGTTAACACTTGACTGACATTGACATTGTGCATCCGTGCAAAGATACTACAGATTGGTGCAGAGTGAGATGAAAATCCTGCATTCTCTCTGCCATAAATCAGTCATTCTCTGGGCCTAAATCCTGCATTCTCTCTGCCATAAATCAGCCATTCTCTGGGCCTAAATCCTGCATTCTCTCTGCCATAAAATCAGTCATTCTCTGGGCCTAAATCAGCCATTCTCTGGGCCTAAATCAGTAATTCTCTCTGCCATAAATCAGTCATTCTCTGGGCCTAAATCAGTGCATGCGGTGTGTAGTCCTCACAAGACTTCATTGCTAATTCACAAAACGTCCTCTCATAAATACACCAAGTCCGCAGACTAGTGCATTAATCATTGAATGCCGCCTTCAAAGACTAAGAGTCCAGACTAGGATTTTGTCACAAGCACTAACTTTCTTTTTCAGTAGGCCTCATTACTGATGACATCGCCCTTTGTTTACATGTGCACTTTCTTGTGGGAGTTACGAATGGATAATTGGATTTGAAGTGCTGAAGGAAAACATATACACCCATATAACAAAACATAAAGCATGACAATCATCATTATGTTTACTGGCATTTTAGGGATAAGTGTCCAACTTGACCGAATGCATACATGTACACCTTGGTTATTTCAACACTGCAAACTTCATGTCTGTGAAAGTTAACTCAGCCATGTGATTAATATGCCAGTCAGGCAGACTCATGCTTACTTATTTGAAAGATTTCTTTTGATTTACTAATCTTAAAATGTCATGGCCTTATTGCCTTCAGATGGTACATTTTAGGTGTGCTGGGTCATGTCAGGGTGAAAAAATAAATAATAAACATTCAGGTTATTGGAAAATAGACAAAATGTACTTGTATTAAACAGTGCATATCCTTTGCATACAGACAGTTAACTGTGGTAACCATAACCCATGTGTCTTTGTTGTAGCTTGCGTGCCCAGTTCAGCCTCCCTGATTCATCCATCAACTGTGTTCATGGCAGTGATTCAATGGAGTCAGCACAGAAAGAACTCAATTATTTCTTCCCAACAGAGAACACGTTAGCCGTCATCAAACCAGATGCATCAGTTGAACATAAAGGTAGAAAGAGAATACTTGGTTTTCTTGACTTGGTTCAGTGCTTCTTTTCAACATGGGTTGATTGTTGGAAGAAACAGCGGATTAACCCTCCTCTCTGGATAAAGTAAAATGCCACAAATACAGCAGATACTGCCATCTTTGGGCTGGGAAAATAATCTGGGAAAAATTGTTACGCAGTATTGCCTAATAACTGAGCTTTCTTTGTTTAAATGTTCATTTCGCACCTTTTATAATAATGATTTTTTACCAAGTTTTTTATATTTATGAAAACATTTGGCCATTTTAGAATTTCTTTCAACCTGTGAAGATTTTCAGCCCTGTCCCAATTGGGGAGACGGAAATTGTACTCCAGTGCATTTTGAATTGTATTCTGATAAGTGTGAGTTTCTTCTGAACAGATGCTATCATTGAGAAGATTCATGAAGCTGGTTTCAACATTGCCTGTCAGAAGGATGTGGAATTGGATAGGGAGTTAGCAGAGCAACTCTACAAGGAACATGAAGGCAAAGAGTTCTTTGACAGTCTTATGGATCACATGACAAGGTTATCTACAAGCTTCTTACAATGTTCTTTTCTCCCTTGAGAATGTTTTGCAGTACTGTGACAAGACAATCTTGGCATTTGCAACTGAATTATCAAAAACACTATCCACCACCCAAAAAATTAAGAAATAAAACAGAAAACAACATGTTTTTCAGGAAGGAAGGTATCCTTAGTTGTTTCCCAATAATGAACTTCTAATCAATTCTGATTTCTACTAAAGTTAAGTTTGTCAGGAAATGTAGACAGTATTTTAAGTGGCCCTATTCTTAACTAAATAGAAAATGCATGATTCATAATTTACACGTTAGTGACATTTTGAGTCTATTTCAGATTTAAAAAAAAAATCTCAATTGCCCAATTTTGCATGGAAAGCAGATTCTCCCAACTTATTACCTTCAACACACCAATAGCAGCTGCATTAAAACTAATTGTATACTGCATTCCAACATCACAGTCCAAGATTTGACAGCTCTTGTGTTGACAGATGCTGTGTATGGCATTTATTCTACTAGTTATCATTTCAGCCCTTTTTTTCCTTTTTTGTCTTTTGATTTCTGTGTCCGAGTGTTTTGTAATGGCTGTGTCCTTGAGATGATAACACTTTGATGCACTGAGGTCCCTATGATGGAAACCATGCAGAGATCATTAAATTTACATGGAATATCATGAACATTATCATGTACCGATGTGCTCAAGCCCATAATTCATGAATAAATTTACTTCATCAAGTACATGTCATTTAGTTGGTGTTTTTTGGGGGGAGTCATTTTGGGGAGGTCAAATTTTGCGAGCTGTGTGCATTTCCTTTTATAGTGTTGTAGAGAGATCTTTGATCCCTTGGGGCAAACCATGATAAGCAGTGAATACTCATATTTACAATAATTCTCTCCGAGATTTTTTGATGTGTATTCTGTCTTTGATTAACCCTAACACTCCTCAGTCCTCCAACAGGTGAAGGATTGAGGAGTGTTAGGGTTAAGGAGTTTGGTCAAGCCTTAAATCCTAGGTATAGACCAAGTGTACATTGATTTTCATCATGCAGCCCATGAACATTTCATTCCATCGCAATCAAGATGTATTAAGAATCTGCAAGACAAGAGTCCAGTGTGAATAAAAAACATCAGTGTACTGTCATTCCAAATGGGTTTTAAGGTGTAGAAAGTCAGTAAGAAAACGGTGCATGATTGCATTTGGACACAGTGCAGGACAAATGTCTGTGCATTTTCTGGAATGATCAGGTGGAAATTGGTAATTGTTTTGTGATTACTAATAGTGCTTCAAACTGGCCAACTTAACATTGATGCTGACATTGCTTTTTGAAATCTGTTGTGCTGTTTTCAGCTTTGCCTTCCTCATTGACCATGTCCCTTCCTCCCCTCATACCATCTATGCAGGCAGTGTATCTAGGATCTCACCCAAGGTGGAAGGAGAGAATGTTGAGACTTGGTCAAGGTGGATTTCAAATCCACTCTGTAAAATCTTAGCATCCTCTCGTCAGTTTGTAGTCTATGGGTTAGATCTGGTATACCTTTCCCTGTCATTTCACTCCCAACTCACGGCTTATCTCTGTCCCATCAGTGGCCCCTCAATGATTATGGTGTTATCGCGAGAGGATGCTGTAGAAGGCTGGCGTACCATTATGGGTCCTACTGATCCTGAAGTAGCTCGAGAACAAGCCCCAGACTCCCTGCGTGCACTGTTAGGGAAGGATGTCTTACACAATGCCATCCATGGCAGCTCCAATAAAGACCATGCCAAGGAGAAGATACAAAAGCTCTTCCCTGAAGTTGGGATTGAAGAGGATGGCTCTATCACAGGTAAGAGGCTTACTGTGGAAGTAGTCATTTTTTGGTGCTTTTAACTAACTGACTCGTGAATCACAGTGACCTTCTTGGAGAAACTATCCTTGATACAATTTTAACTCTAATAATTTCCACGTTAGAGGTTTCAGGCTAACTCTGATTGCCTTCAAGTTATTTTTAGAGGTCGTAGGTTGAGTATGGTTTTTGCATGAAGGCCATTGTGTGACACATTTTATGTTATGGTCAACCATAGCTGTTGCACTTATCTCTATAGTTGTTATACTTTGCACATTTAACAACTGTTAACTGCTGTGACATGGGATATAATGTTTTGATCATTTGAGGGATGCATAGCACCCCGAGGCAAAGCCGAGGGCACCATGCATGCCTGAGGGCGTTCAAAACTGCATATCCCACATCGCAGCATTTAACAATTGTTTTGTCATACCTCTGTCTTAATTATGTTAAGGCTCAGGAATTTATCCAAAGAAAGGAGCTCTGAATTTCAAGAGTTCAGAAAACAATAGGCGTACTGTCAAACTGTATAATTAACATAACAGACGTAAACAATTATTGTCTGTGAATGCGTTGTTCCCTCACTTTCTTTAAAAGCGTAAACTTTATTGTGAGAGTAGAGGAAGTACCAGTGAGTACAAGTTCACGTGTCAGTAGTCTGGTTAGCAGTCCATTGCATTACCTTACACACGGCGGGGATAGAGTCTGTTATGAGAGCATGACCATTGATCGAATTCCCTGGTAACGTATGCACAGAATGTATCATCATGATCATGGGTACCATTCAAAACTGACTAACTGAGTGACAACGGTCATTTCCGAATTTTCCAAATCATCTGTCTTGTGCAGAATAGGATGTCTCACAGTGAGTGTCATATGCAGATATATCGCCCTGTCATGTCATTATTCTGGGCCCATGAACAGACAATATCCTAGACATGTATGACAAAACATTTTATCGCACCTATTACATACTGTGTATATGCTGCTCTTGCTTTGCCAGTTAACAATACTTCAAGGATTTTTAATTGAGCACTTGTAATTGTTGATTGCACCCTCTGTCCAACTTGAAAAGCTTCACTTCATTGTGTCCTGTTGTACAGGACGGATACGAAGATGGGTCTGCTTTAACTCTACCAATGCTGTTGCAACCTATTATGTCGCACATAGACTGCAGAATGATGATACAAATTATCTTTCTGATTCTGACAGACAAAGTCATGACATTCACTCACATCAGAAAAATGAACTTGAATGAAAAACCATATTTCCAAAATTGCCACATTAAGTCCAATTGGAACTCACCATGAATTGACATGCCTCTGTGTCACATTACAATCACGATAATGTAACAGGCCGAAAGTCATCTCAGAAACTTCCCACAGAGCTGCAATACTTGTACTGGCCCCCCTGACTAAACTAGTTGGAACAACACCATGCTGTAAAATTTCTGCAAGTCTGCTGTCAAATGCCTCATGTGAAAAATAATTAGCTGACCCCTTTCTGTTCCTGATACTGGTACATACATGTATGTGCACATATCACTATTTTACGTGTCATAGAGGTGTCATACATTTCCGTCAAGATATTTGTGTCTTTGCCTCATGAATGTTGTGACATTTACTCAAGCAGGTAGCTGACTGTTGCTAATGCAAAAAGATGCATATTGATCAATGGCACCATGGCACATTATCCAACCATGTACAGAGAATTAACATTCCGCTGTTGTAAAAAGTCCAAGTGGGAAAGTACAGAAGTTTATGCTTGTGAATGTGAACAGGGAGTTGCAGACAGAATGCAAGCATGGAAGAGAATGTCCAATGGAAACACAACTAAAGAACACCTTTTAAACACATACTCAAGGTCATGCCATCAACATGAACCAGATGTTTGATGATTATATGACACTGATCGAGACTAGACTGATAAATGATTGACACTGATAAATGATTGACACTGATAAGTGATTGACACTGATAAATGATTGACACTGATAAGTGATTGAAACTGATAAGTGATTGACACTGATAAATGATTGACACTGATAAGTGATTGACACTGATAAATGATTGACACTGACAAGTGATTGACACTGATGAGATAATCTGAATAATAGCTTTCATTCTCTGTACCTGTTGGGCTAAGTTTGATCTTTCAGATCTGTCTTAGACCATCAATATACAAGACATCAAGACGGCATACTGTACTTTTGTAGATATTTTCTGTCAATAGACAATATCCAGCTCTCTAACTGCACCCTTTTGTATCCATCTGTGATGTTAATGGTGGTACTGTTTGTTATGATGGTATGGTATGTGTGTGCTAACCTCACCTCCTAACAACCATTTGTGTGTGTTGTCAGACATGGATGGGGAAATGGCTGATATTGTTGCTGAAAGTACAACCCAAGACCAACCGGAAAGTAAGATGATAAGACAAACAAAAACCTACATCTCTTTGGCCCGCAGTCCCAAATAGCTTGTACTATCTGGAAAAAATGAACATCAGTCCAAGAACTTGATTATATGGTTTCGTTTGCCTAATGTTATTGAATACGTTATTTAAAGATTCAATAATTGGAAGGATGTTTAGTATTTTATACATTAACCACTTGCTGCCGGGGAACCCCGTTTTGAGAACCGTGGGTTTATACGCAGAGCCGGGGTGCCTAAAATGGGACAAAAGAGCTGGTCCGTTTAACAAAAAACCGTACTCGGAACAAAAGACCTGCTGCTGGGAATTGCCATCAATTTTCGGCTTGCATTTTTCAAAGGTAATCTGTCACTCTTTTTAAACAGTATACCACAGCAAGCTAATCCAGCTGCGTTTGAAAAGATGCCACTCGCATGCACTGGGGACAAAGGAAATTACGCAACACGTCACAATTCTGGGTTCTCTTCACAGGGTGGCAGGCTTGGCTGAAATATTCAGGAGTCAATGAAGGTTACCTGTCAGCTTAGAGTAGCCACCAAACAGTCATTTGTGTGGGTGTAAATGTCCATTAAATGAAATGATGAATTTTGAAGAATTTGGAAAACTGAAAATCTTGAAAATTGCCTGTATGTGTGCACTGCATTTTTAAAAGCACCCGGCAGCATGCAGTCAAGAAATTAATCGCTAAGGTGGAAAGCTTGCAGTAGCACCATGCAAGGATACAATCTCTTTGTGAGTCTGTATGGTTCTGAAAAGAACCGTGAGGAACTCAACGTTTCGGATGGTATGCTCTGTCTGTCGTCAGGAGACATTAATTAATCGCTGTTTTACATTTACATGTAGTTGTTTAGGATCACTTAATAAATTACCCAAACCAAAGAACAAACCAAAAAAAAAATGAATGAATAAAAGAATTGAAAATGAAATAGTAATATAAAGCTCAAGCCAGAGGTTCCCTTCAAAGAGTCAAAAAGGCAAATTAAAAGGACAGATGTTTTTCAGCGTAGCCATGTTTTCCATGTGGTTTCTGTCACGTTCCATTTGCGCCTTATTGAGGACAAATCATGCCTTTGTTATGTCATACTGATTATTATTTGTAAGTAAGATCCTTTTTATTTTTGCAGTGCATACAGCGGTAACTAATGAGCAAGAAGGAGTACAAGTTGCTGATCAGGGTATGGTAGCTTAGAAATCACCAATACACTACAGGTCTGACAATACCCCCATGGATCTTGGCACTCCAAGCATGGTTTGGACAAAATCTGTAATCACATCATGTCCATTAGCAGAGTCCACACAGATCTTTTTTGTTAGTGACTAGCAGTTTCCTTACAGCACTATGAAACGGTCCCAAAATATTCTGAAATTTCATGAAGTCCCTCACAATTGGTGAAGTGTTTTAAAAGAAATTTCAACTCTTCCAAATTAGGTTCCAAAAATGTAAGATTTTTACAGAATAAACATGATGCAAATATTTGCCCTTATAATTTAATAAGAAGAGATAAAGAGAACATTTAGAAGCCAGTTGGACTGTACTCATTGTGAATGAACATCTTTGTGTGACAGGTGATGAAGATGAGGAACAGGTACCAACTGAACCTGCAGCCACAGAGGGTAAGATAGACAACATGGATAATGTCTAAGAATTCCTAACATTTGGTATTTACCCAAATACTACTTGAGTGTATTTGGTTTAAATAGTGCTTTCATACTTACTATCAGAATGTAAACAGATGGTTGTTACATTTAACAAGGAAAGCTATTACACCTGTACACAAAACATACCACATTTAGACTAATTACTTCTTTCCGTGCCTAGGATAAACTAACTTTGTGTCAATTTTGAGTCGTGTTTACAAATCAAGATGACATATGGCATTGGGTTTTTAGATCATGAATTTCTTGCAAGATACCGCGTTGTTTAATGGAGATCCATCAGACATTTAACAGACAAATTTGTATTCCACACAATTTTGGTATATACATTGGGCACATTACTAAGTCCAGGTCAAAAGTAGATATTTTTATTGTAACAACTTTCTGTCAACAGAAGCTCAACAAGAAAGCCAAGAATCCCAGGGTGGGGAAGATGAGCAAGCCCCGGGGGGAGGGGAGGGTGAGCAAACTGAGGGAGGGGAAGCAGATGGCCCTGATGTTGAGGCTGAGAAAGGAGAGGGTGGGGAAAGGGAAGGGGAGGAGAGTGCAAAGGTTGAAGAGGGCGGTGAAGAAAAAGCTTCATTGGAGGAGAGTAACGACGAACAAACAGCTGATGAACAGGCAGAGAGAGAGGAAGGTATCCATGCTGCATGAACCAAAGCTTCATCTTGTTAACCCTGTCTGCTATTTCAGATGCCACTTTGTACTCACACATACCACAGCCATCTTTGTTTTCTGCAAAATTTTTCAGTCATCATGTACCAGGTCAATAATAATTGATTCCATGTGCATAAGATCAGCCGGATGTGCAAGTGCATGGTACATCAAATTAGCTGGGATCATAGCACTTAGTGAACCACGTCTTGCTGTTGTAAGTTTGTCTTCAGGGGGCATGACAAAGATGGCTGAAGTATTCGTAGTGCCTAGTATAATTTGCATTCAGATTTTCAACATTAAGAAGTTAACCTGCTAACACTTGTTTCCTTGTAATGTTATTCCAGCAGCAAGAACCGTTCCATCGTTATCAAGCTAAACTGCATTTGTCATCACTAACTGCTTCCAATTTTTCATTCATGTCTTTTCACAGAAAAGCTTCTGTAGAGCTCAGTGTTGCATTCATTTTTCAAGAAACCAATCTGGGGAAAATCATGACAAGTTACGGAAACTGACGCTTGAAGGAGTAATATAAGCATCGATTCTAGATAATTGATTTTAGATTTTTTTTTAGCTTCAAACAAAGCAAAAAGGGTTTTTGGCATTAAAGGGTTAGGCTAGTGACAAATCAGCTAATCAGTTCTAACAGTTCTTAATCCTTAATTGGAGGATTGAAGACTGTTAGGCTAAATGAATGCAAACACAAAGCAACTGGCCATTTTTCAACAAGTTTTGATTTTCCCCAGAGTTGTCTCATGTAGCATTATACATGGTCCGTGTAACCACCATTGGTGTCTTTTTCTTGGCTTTTTAATACAAGCTTCCATTCTAGCATTATGTTACAGGTTTGCTTCAATTATTATGCATTTTCACCCAAGTTTGAGTGCATTAGATTTCTTACAGGTGTAGCTCAATCCTGTTCAGATGAGTTCACCAAGTATGCTGAAACAACAAAACTGGTTCAGCAAGAATAAGTCCAACAAAAGTGGTCCGACTTTGAGTAATTGGGTTTTAGTTATGGCAAAAATATCACAGTATGTGCAAAAGGACTGGGAATTAGTCAGAATTCTTTTTCCAAGCTGTGATAAGCTGTATGTCCCAGCACCCGTTTATTCAGTCAACACAGCCTTGAGTTTGGTTCTTACTGTACCAATTTAGAGTGAGGATTGACTCAGTAAAACATTCATCTGCAGCTCAACTTAGAAAGGCATATCTAGTATGCTAACCACAGTTGCTTTCACTCATTGTTTTTTTTGCATTATTTAAATTGGCACAATTGCTATGGTTGTTTTTTGTAACTGTAGGAAAAATTCAATAATTATGTTGTTACAGAGTTGCTCTAAAGTTCTATGTCTATCAATCTTCTCCCAGGGTTTTATTGGCACTAATAAAAATCATGCTAGCTTAGAAATAGTAAAATGGTTTGGCATTGAAGATGACTTCTGTATCAGCAGCAACTGTGACCAAAGTTCTAAAATTGAATAGCTTCTTTTAGAAACTCTAATACGTACAATATTTCTTCAAATACTGTTTCAGTTCCACCTTGACTAATAATTTCCCAGATTTTAGCTTGCTTTTCTCTAAGTAAAATGACACACTTCTTAGTTCGCATATGGCAAACACACTTTCGATTTCATTTCATGTAGCATATTTTAGAAGCCATCAACATCATACTCCCAAACAATTGTCTTCATTCAGTAACGTAGCAACCGGGGGGGGTTTAAAAAATGGATAAATATTGAATGAGGCTAACAAAAAATAGCCCCCCCAAAAACACACCACTGAAAGCTGATACCCCCATAAGATGCTGTGTCCCCTTTGTGCCCCCCACTAGTAAAAGCCTAGCTATGCCACTGTCTTCATTACTGGCTTCACTGGCCTTAACTGTTCTTTAAAACATTTTGTATTAGTTTTTCTCTGTTCAACTCTCTTTGGCTTCAAATTTGGAATCAAAATTGTCCTTAATTCATGGGTTTCTGCTAGTGTATTTTTAATTTTCATTTAACTTCTAAAATGTACATTTCCTAAAAGGGTATAATTTTGAGTTATAATCAGCTCTGAACATCAGTTTTTTTGTGACTTCCATTTTCAGCCTCAGTAGAAACATATCAAGGATAAATATTCACCTGACATTTCAGTCTGCTTTTTTAGACTTTTAAATTGACTGTTGGCGATTTAGTGAAAAATTTGTAACTGTCAGTTGTTGGACTTTGACATCAAGATTCCTGTCATTCCAAAAATTGTTCATATATAAAACATTAATTGAAATCCTATTACAGCAGAACCAAAAGAGGAAATCCAAGAAGAAACACCACCAGATAGTGGTGAACAGACAGAGGTGACAGACCCCACAGCGGATGAGGGTAGGGAACCCCAAACACAGGAGGGTATGTTAGGTGTCAGCAGGGATCACTAACACCACCACAAACTTTTTCTTCAGTCGAAAGATTGTTTGAAACATCGTCAAAGGCTGCTCAAAGATTTTTGTATTGACTCGGTAATTTTTTGTTTATTAAGTCCTTCAAAACACAGATTTTTGTGTCGTCTTACATTACCCCAAAAAAGACACACTTGAAAAGCAAATCTTTTTTTTGAAATTTGGTTTTTTTTTATTTCAGTCATTGTCACATGTATTTTGCGTATTTGAAGAAAACGGTTTCATCTATTCTCACGGTTTCAAGTATGTGTGTGTTTTGACATATATTACCTATTGTAAATAGAACCAGCATCAAAACCTGTACCAGAGGATGAACAGCAGCAAGAGGAAGAGCCTACAGCTAACCAGACAGTTGGTGAGACATCACAAGAGGGCTCCTCAGATCACTAAACCTACTCCCTTTCATTCACTATTCATCAGCATTTGTGACTGAAGTTACTTGTTGCATTTATACACGGACCATTTACTCAGGGATGTGCAACCACGAGTGGCCCCAGTGCAAACACATGTGCAACCTTGGATCCATACGTGTTACGGATTGTTATTACCCACGCAAGTGCTCTTGACTTTCTCGAAAAAACTCGCGACCACGACACGGGTTGCAGCTTGCAGCATGTACAGTGCAGCCGTGGTTATGCCGAGACGACATGCCGATGTGATGCTTAAATCTGTTCGTTTTGACGAACAAATCTTCATTTATCGATTTCAAGGAGAAACAAAGTTTTAATGAGGCAAAATTCCCCAATTTTGTGGTACAATTTTCTCAGAATATATAGCATGAAATATCTTGAGCAGCATATTTTTAGAAAGGGTGTACTCTGACTTAAAATATTACAAGAAAACAAAGTGGTAGACAGGAAAATATGTTTTATTATTAGAGGAAGTGTTACATAATCCAACTAAATTTCTGCTTTGATACTGTGCCAGCCGTAACACGCACTGAACCAGCTCTGAGCTTAAGTTGCACATCCCTTGGTAAATGGTCCGTGATTTATAGAACCACCACTGTTACTGTCTGCTAAACCGAGATCTGCCACCCAAAAATGAACTTAGAGTCAGATTTTTTTCTTCCTTTATACGTTTGAGGTTTTGAGCTGAATGGTTGACGTGTGGTAGCACACAGAATTAAAGTCTTATCAGCTCCCTGCAAATAGTTGATGGTGCCTTTGTGGCACACTGAGGATCCGGGATATTTAAAAATGACCTATGACTTGCCTATTAATGAATAGAATTGAAATGATGGTGATGATGGAATGCTAGGTAATTCACACATAACTTTTGCAGATTAAAAATGAAATGTGACTTTATGCTCATTGATGATGTGGTGGTGGGTCATGTCAGTTGTATTTCATTCATAGGTGGAGGAGTAACTACTTATTTCACTAGATGCTAACTGTTCTGGTTCTGTTGCAGAAATAGCTGAGGACATATTGCCTTTCATTCATGCTGAATAGCTTGTGATATTGTCTGCTACTATATGTATGTCATGTTATTCAATATTGCTGCAACTATAGACATGAGTATTTTGCACTGAGTAATCAGTGATCTTGTGGTTAAGGGTAGATTAACTGTTCACATGCATGTTCTTCCATTAACATTCTAGGTTTTTCACAGGAATCAGGCAAATGTAATGAAAAGAGAGATGTAGCCCTCGTTTAGCATTACCTTCCCTTACACTTCACTATTTTCATGTATCTCATGGTCATATATATATCCTAGCTAAATAACACCACATAAGATAGTGATCATGGTTATTGTTAATGTCATGCCGTTCTTCCTCTTGAATGTTTGTGTTGGTAAGTCACTAACATGGTTGAAAAAATTTAGTATGAATTAACACCTTCCAGTCAGCTGATTTCCACTTTTTTGTACTTGTTTTATATGCTACCTCTAAGTGAAAACGATGTACACAGTACATGTGTAATGTAGTATAGGGAATTCCTTATTTGATTTCAAATTTGCAAGTTTTGCATGGCTTTTCTCTGACCCTTATAAATGTTGATTTTTTCCTGAAGCAAATAACATCATAACATTGTGTCTGCAAAAAAATGTATCTTTGTTTTGAGAAAAATGCATCAATAGGTTAATGGCCCCACAGTAAAGTTTTGTGCTAAATTAAAATACAGGAAATACAATTTAGGCAGTTAATTTATCTAAAAACATACATGATTCGAGGTTTGATATCTTGACTCAATTTTAGATAAATTTAATGAACAAGATCAACACATGACTTTTAGCTTGAAATGATGTGCCAGGCGTATTCCATCAAAAAGTCATAATTGAGATGTTTTTGAATGAACACACTACATTGCCCCTTTATTTCAGCTGATTTTGTTGCACTTGAATTTTGTTACTTCTGATATTTCAGACCCGTATTTCCTTATATCAGGTGAAACTACTGAGGAGGCTAAGCCTGAGGACCCAGCAGTGGAACAGGCCCCAGCAGCAGAGGACACACCTGCTACTGAGGATGCACCTGCTACTGAGGACACACCTGCTACTGAGGACGCACCTGCTACTGAGGACGCACCTGCTACTGAAGACACACCTGCTGAAGAAAACAAGTCGACTACTGAGGACACACCCCCTGGAGATGATGCACCTGCTGCAGAAGACACACCTGCTGTAGAAGAGCAACAGGTGGCAGATGACAAGCCAGCCGAGGAACCACCCGCTGAAGCTCAACAAACAGAGGGTTAGTCAGAGATTGAATTTACAGCATGTTCTGTATTGCACTGATTGTTATTACCTGTTTCGCTGGTATCGAAAAAATGGTCTGAAAGGCTCTCCCACTGGTATTTACATATAGTTGCTCAGATGTGGTTTTGTTGGTGTAAAGTAGGATTAACATTTTAAACAACCTAGCCTACATCATGGTCTTGGAATGAGACCATGCTCATATGATCTTGATATCCTTCAAATCACAGATGAAAAACCCAATGAAGCAGCAGCAGCAGAGCAAGAGGCTACCCCAACAGAGGGAGAAGAGCAAAAAGAGGAACACCCTGCAGAAGGAGGGGATGAACAGAAGGAAGAGCCTGCTGCAGAAGGAACAGATGAAAAGAAAGAAGAGCAAGCACAGGCATAAACTACTTAAAAAGTGGTGAATTAGAAAAATCGATTTGGCACACTTCAGCCAGTGACCTGTTCTGTAAGCCCTTTCCCTGAAGACAATCTTCCCCAAAATCTCTCTTTTTGTGGTGTTTAATTGATTGAACCCTTCTTGACAGGATGAATGTGTCCAAGTTGTAATACCCCAGGATTTGTCTGGATTCACCACTTGCGTTGAGTAGATTCACAGAACTATGCAGATGTGACATGATATGCAGATGCAAGCACATTACTAGCATGTGTGAGGAGTATTTCAGATGGCATAACATTGGAAATATGTGGACACGTGCTACTTGTTCTAAATATTAGTATGATTCCAAGCATGTATGGGTGGGTAGGCCTTCACTCGAATTCACTGTATTAACGAAGCAATGTATATTCTTGGGTAAGTTGAGACCAAGTTGTGGGGACAAACATTTGTAGTTTACAGATCTGTTTCAACAATATGTAATGACCAATGTCACCAGCATGGGTGTACAAAGTGACGCACACATGCTTGCCATCTAAAAGTCTGTCAACAGTCAGGAGTATATTTTGGTCTGTACAGTTTAGATTTCTTCCTGTTTGGATTTCCTTGTCTTGAATTTATCATTAAGAAAATTAACTGGTCTTTCTGATCAGTACAATAATGCATGTTTTTAAACTTGGTATAAATTATTGCTTTGACACTTGTTTTACTCGTTTCGCTTTTACTTGAGCTAAAAGTTGTAAATATTTTACCAAAAGTCATTGCAACAAAATATACCTGAATATACACATATACACACAGTGAAATGGGTGACCTGATGTGTGGGCCTTTTTCTTTATTTAGCACAGGAAAAGTTCATTCCTTGTACAGGTATGGATGAAATGCAAAAACAATTTCATCTTTCGTAAGAATGAACATAGTTTATTATTCCGTCCAGTCCTTAAACTGTGCCTAGTTTTGTTTGAAATTTCGAATTGTAAAAATACATAGAATTCTGATGAATAAATTGTTTTAGAAAAGTCTTATGCATCTTATTTTGCAGTATGTCAATTTAGAAATGCCAATGATAAAATATTACTGGCTTTCGAAAGGTTACCCACACATTTCTGACATTAACAAGAAGCTTGGTGTTTTAATATTCTCAATCCCTGTTCCTGTAATTTTGTAGTCATCAAACGTGGAAAGGAATATCGCCTGGTTTGCATAGCCTACTTGCTCAGCAATTTACATTTCACATTCTCAAGGTGATTGAATATAGGAAAGTTGAAAATTTAACAATGATTTTTTTTCATTCCACAGCTTAAACCAAAACTTTTCATACAGAATGTGAAATGTGATTTAGAAACCAAACACTATATGAACAAGCATGATTTCTCTTACAAGTCAAAGGTTAAGACCACCAAGAATACTATCACTATGAAAATGTAAACTGCAGGTCTATATATTTGTGTTTCCCAAGAACCCTATTCTGAAATATGTACTGACAGAAAGTTGATTTCAAAGCATTGGGGACTTTTAACATATGCATTTTCCTCGACTACAACAATAAAACTTGTTGAATTCAGAGTGGAATACACATAGTAAAAAATTACAGAAGAAATTACAAAGATCCGAGGTGTGTGCATAAACGTCATTCTCATAAACAAACAGGATGTTAACATTTCTGCTGTTACTTCTGCCTGAGTGATGAGATGCCAGGTTTTTCATAATCATTGGAATAAACCTTTTGCAGGTTAAATTTGAAGAAAACTTGATACATGTAAATGTACACTGAGTTCTTTACATTCACGTGAAAATAACAATTTGAAATCTCCATACTAAAGACACTGTTTCTATGACTCCTGATTTGGGCAAGCTTTTGCTAGGTTGCATAAGAGATGCCTTGCACCAATACACCATCTTCAGTGGTTGTCGCTATGCAAAAGCTTGCCTTGAATCACAAGGTATAGCAACAATATACCCAGCAAGAAATGAGACCGAGGGGTACCCCCCAACATGTCCAATCCCTATGCACATTCCAGACTATTGTTACTTAACACATTCTCCCCCAAGATGTCTGAAAGGAATTCCCCAGATTCCTGCGAGACAATGACCAACACAAAGCAGGGGGGTTCTCTCCATCTCATACCTTGCTGTATATGAGCAACGAGGTCTTAGTCTGAATTCATATTGTTATGTCTACATGTATGTACAATAAAAAAACTCAGTGTACCAGATTTTAATCAAATTTATCTCGCAAAAGGCTTACCAGAGACCTGTGGTACAATAGGCATTATGCAGCTGTTTGGATGTGACAGGTGCTTTAAATTGAAATCCAAGTAGAATGAGGAAAAATGAGGAAAAACGGTCTTGTCATTTTGACATGTTAAGATTTTCCTTTGTTGCATCTGACATGCAACTTCTTGGTCCTTTTGGTTTTCTGTTCTGGGTTCTGGTGTTTAACTTTGATGTGAGAATTCAAAGATGACTTTGACTCAACCTGTTTGCTGCAGTGTGGACACACATATACCTGTAATTCAGGATTCTTGTGCTTCTTCAAAATGTGCGATTTTAACGATCCATTGTCTCTGTAGGTTTTATCACACTGGTCACATTTGAAGCGTTGTAGCCCGGTATGGGTAATTTGATGGCGCTTCAGATTAGTGGAGTATCTGAAAGTTTTGTCACAAAATTTACAAGGGTAGGAACGTTCCTGAGTATGTACACGTTTGTGATACTCAAGAGCTGATGAATATATAAAAGTCTTGTGACATGTCTGACACTCATAAGGTCTTTCACCTGTGTGCCTTCGTTGATGTTGCCTGTATGTGTACATCGTCTTTAAAGTTACTCCACAGGTAGTACAAAGCAGCCGATCTGCTGAAGGCTTGTCACATTGAGCATTGTGCTCATCATGTGAGCTTAAAATATGCTGCTTTAATGTCCAAGGACTGGGATATGTCAGGTCACAGTATTGGCATTGCATGGCCGTGTCTTCACCACGATGTTTCTTCATGTGATGGGTGAAGTAATAATCACGAGTAAACTTGGCTCCACACTCTTCACAAGTAAACTTAAAACATGGTCTTTTTACTATTTTTGGCTTAACTACAGATATATATACTGGTTCCATTACTGTCTTGTTGTCCTGTTCATGACTTTTACCATTGTCTTCAAATTCTTCTATCCATGGCTCTTCAGCATGGCCGTGATCGGACTCACATTGATAGTCATGATCAGAATTATGCACCATTACTTTCTGCGGATGACTTTCTCGAACTGACTTTTGTTCACAGTTAACACTTTGTTTCTGTGATACCATGACAATGTCTTTGTTGCTAGGACAACACAACTTGACTTGAACACCAACTGAAGTAACTGCAGCTCTTACTTGTTCAGCATTTGATCTTGTCACCTGAACAGTGTTACAACTGCATATCCGTGTTTGTTGTGCATGAAACAATGTAGACAAACACTGTTGGGATCTGAAAAGAACAAATGGGGCACTGCAACATGCTAACAATGCAGATACCTATCTTCAGATTTAAAAAATAAAATGCAATCTTAATAGTCTATGGCAGGTACATCAGATAAATAGTCTTTATCCCCCCCCCATAAAAAACCCTGAAAGACAAGGGCTTGGCAGGATGTATTTCCCCATCACTCCACACATTGAATGAGTTTGTAAAGTTATGTCAAACACCTTTATCACTTATTATTTCATGAATTTCAGACATGCTATTCCAACTGTGGAACTTTCAGAGAGGCACAAAGCGCTTCGACTGATCTAAATTTGTTGCGTGTTTCTAGTTTTTATAGTTCATACTAAATTTCACATCCAAATATCTTTGTAAAAGACCAAACAACCCTCCTGTTTCAACCGTCACTTCCCTCCTTCATTACACTGACATCATATGTCGCTTGAAATTGAATGATTCAGGGTGCGTTTTGTTAAGAGCGTTAAAAGGCAAATATTAAATACATGTACTGGTACCTGTGTTGCTCCTCCAAATCAAAGAGATGTTTCACAAAGGTAACAAGTGACTCAAACCCACTGGATTCATGCAATGACCTGATCTTATTGGCTAAATCAGGATGCAAGATCATACTTCCACTGGCTATTTCCATGGTGATCCTCAATCTAAAAGAAATGGCATGAGAAGAGTAAGGTATGAGTAGCCACCTATAAAAAGTCTGTAAGGAAAGTTTATTAACAGACATGAGCTTAGTGGAAAAGATCTCTTCTGAACTCTTTAATTGAAGCAGGTTACTCCCTAAGAAAACACATGAACTGATACTACCTGTACAGACAGCACAATATAACCAAGGACCAA